GATCCTTTAAAAGTGTACATCATAGCACTCTGGGAGGCCGAGGTGGGCGGATTGCTCAAGATCAGGAGTTCAAAACCAGCCTGAGCAAGAGCAAGACCCCGTCTCTACTATAAATAGAAAGAAATTATTGGCCAACTAATATATATAGAAAAAATTAACCGGGCATGGTGGTGCATGCCTGTAGTCCCAGCTACTCGGGAGGCTGAGGCAGTAGGATTGCTTGAGCCCAGGAGTTTGAGGTTGCTGTGAGCTAGGCTGACGCCATGGCACTCACTCTAGCCTGGGCAACAAAGTGAGACTCTGTCTCCAAAAAAGAAAAAAAAAATGTACATCAGATTGAGTCACTTCTCTGCTTAAGACCATCCCATGGCTTCCTGTCCCACCCAGAATAAAATCCAGTCTCCTCCTGTGTCCTACAAGGCCCTGTGTGACATGGCTTTTGCCCATGCTCCATCCTCATCTTACCTGTCTCTTCCTCATGTTGACTCACGTTGACTGTGCTCCGGCCACACAAGCACCTTTGGTTTCCCCATCAGCCCAAGCTGGTCCCTGCTTTGGAGCTTTTGGGTACTGTTCCCTCTGCTTCACTCAGGTCCAATGTCACCTTCCCTGAGCACTCACTTGTAAAGCAGCCTCCCCCGCCACTCTCTAACATGTCACCCTTTGTACTTCCTTAGAGCATCATCACTATCTGAAATCATTTATATTTTTTGTCTCCTTCATGAAAACATAAGCTTCCTGAGAGCCACACTTTTTTTGTCACTATATTTCTGGCATGGAGAATGGTGCCCGTAGCTGCTCAGTTAATTCCAAGAGCATGGAGTGAGCATCTTCCAGGGGTTAGGCACCATGCTGCGTGCTGGGTCTGCAGTGACAAATGAAGTGTCCCTGTCCTCATGGAGCTCACATTCTGGAGGGATTTGTGGGGGGCAGGGAGGCAGGAAGGTGTGCTAATAAAGACCCCGAAATATTTAGTGCATGGAGTGATAAGGTGACTTTCAGGTAAAAGGTGGAAGGGCATTCTGAACCACATTTGCTGAGTGCCTACTAAGAGCCGTTTCCCTTCTGGGTATTTTATAGTCATCATGTCACTTAATCCTACTAAACTTTAAAAAAATTTTTTTGCCCCTAATTTACAGAAAGTTTACTTTTATTTTTATTAAAATTTTTTTAAGAGACAGGGTCTCACTCTGTTGTCCAGGCTGGAGTGTAGTGGGCTCATCATAGCTCACTGCAACCTCCCAAGTAGCTGGGGCCAAAGACATGCGCCACCATCCTTAGCAAATTTTTCTATTTTTTTGTAGAGATGGGGGTCTCACTATGTTTCCCAGGCTGGTCTCAAATTCCAGGCCTTAAGAGATCCTCCTGCCTTAGCCTCCCAAAGCGCTGGAATTACAGGCATAAGCCGCTGTGCCTGGCCTGGAAAGGTTACATATCTTGCCCAAGGTCCCACAGCTCGAATTGGAGTTGAAATCTGGCCAGTCTATGCCAGTGCCCACAGGAGCTCTTTCTGGAGTGCCATAATGCTAAGGCACAGCGAGCACAATGGCCAGAGGGTGAGAGCTTAGTCAGCCTCCTGACGGTGATCTCCTGGCCCCCAGACCGGCTAAGTCCCATGGAACTGCCTGTTCTCACAGCCTTTCCCTTCTCACCAGACCCACTGCCACAGCTGCTTTCCTGGCTTCCTGGCCTCCAGCCTGGTCGTCTCTAATTATCCTTCATGTGGCTGTTAGGCAACCTTTCTAAATGCAAATCTGGTCACTCTCAAAATCTTTAGAATCACGTGTGCCTACAAGGCCACACTGGACCTGCCCCTACTGCTGATCACTCTGGCCTCACTTCCTGCCTTTCCGGGGTGCCCACACCCAGGCCAGCAGGCAATGCTCGGAGCATTGAGAGCATCCCCACCTCCGTGAGCTTTGCTCATTGTGCCTGCTGTTTCCGGAATGTTCCTCTTCAGGTCTCTGACTAAAGACCGCCTACACGTACAAGGTGAGGGCAACTCTCTTATTATTTTTTTTGTTTTTGAAACAGAGTCTTGCTCTGTCACCTTGGCTAGGGTGCAGTGGTGTCATCATAGCTCACTGCAACCCCAAACTCCTGGGCTCAAATGATCTGCCCACCTCAGCCTCCCAGAGTGTGAGGTTTATAGGTGTGAGCCACCGTGCCTGGCCCTCAGTCTGGTTTCTAACTCCTGACCTCAAGAGATCCTCGTGCCTAGGCCTCCCAGAGTGTTAGGATTATAGGTGTGAGCCAACCAGCCAACTGTCCTCCTCTTACAACTCCATCGGGCTGTTTAAAAGAGCTTCTTTGTGCTCTTGCACATGCTAGAAAGTAGAAACTGTGCCTTAATGATAGAATCCCATATCTGTTGTTAGGCTGTGGAGTTGAAAACTGGACATTATTATTTCCATTTTATGTAAACAGAAACTGAAGTCCAGAGAGGGTTGCTCATTTGTCCAAGCCCAGTCAATGAGGGGTACAGAGAAGACTTTATTTTGAAACAGTCTCACTCTGTTGCCTGGGCTAGAGTACTGTGGCATCAGCCTAGCTCACAGCAACCTCAAACTCCTGGGCCCAAGCGATCCTCCTGCCTCAGCCTCCTGAATAGCTGGGACTACAGGCATGCACCACCATGCCTGGCCAATTTTTTTCTATATATTTTTAGTTGTCTGCTAATATAGAGACGGGGGTCTCGTTCTTGCTCACGCTGGTCTCAAACTCCTGACCTTAAATGATCCTCCTGCCTTGGCCTCCCAGAGTGCTAGGATTACAGGTGTGAGCTGGCCGGTACAGAGAAGACTTGAAACCCACACACTCAAATTCCAAACTAAGTGTGCTTTACTTCTCTTATTTGCACAATCAGGAGAATGTGCAGTGCATTAGACATTCTCTGGGTAGCAGCCTCTGTGCTAGGTGACCACAAACACTTTGAAGACTGAAGCAACATCCCCATATGTGTGCTCCTCTGCTGATGTCTGTTCACAGGAGGTGTCTGTCATGTCCTTGTCCACCCTCCCTTTCCTCTCCTGGGGGTTGTGACATTGGAGTTTATGACACAGCCAGGGCACCTGCCATTTGTTCCTATTAGACACTATTCTTTAAAGCCATCCCAAGGGCTCCAGCTCTTTCTGCTCTTCCCAACTTGTGCTTGTGCATCCACAAGTGAGCACTGGACCTCTCCACCTTCATCCAAGTCACCAGTAAAACTATTGACCAGACAAGGGCCAAGGAAAGGGCCCTGGGATGTGTTACTCCTGATCTGCTGCACCGTTAAGAGACAGGCACAATCGAATCATGAGCTTCCCAACCAAATCTGTCTTTAGTTCACATTTCTCTGGTTGGATGGCCTTGGTGACCCTGGGCACCATAGCTAGGCAGGTGAGGCTACTTGGTGTCAAAGCTGTGTGGGGTTTGCCCTTGTATGCTCAGCACTCAGCATGGTGCCTGGTTCATAGTGGGTGTCCAGCAAAGCTTGCTGAAAGGAGAGATGGGTGGCTTGTTATTAGTGAACCCATCTTGGCCCCTTCTCATTGCTTTCTCCTCTCACTTCAATACGGAATTTCCCAGTCAGTCCCTGATCCTTGGCCCTTTTCATGTTTATCCTCATTTACTGCATGATCTTGATTACAGCCCATGAGGACAAATAGCTCCCAGTCTATATTCAACCTACAGCTTTCCACTGGTCTGCAGACCCTCATCCTTCCACTTCCCCTGTCCTCCTAACCCCTGTGCATCTCTCCACCCATCCTCCACCCGTCCAATAAATACATTGAATTCCTTCCACAGTGTGCTCAGGGTGACCAATCCCTGCCTGAATGGAGCTTTCATTCTAACTAGCAAACAGACACCAAATGTGTAATTACACAAAAACACTTGTTAGAAGTGCAATAAAGCAGAAGCCCTGGGTGCTATGAGAATAAGCCAAGTGGGACTTGATCCAGCCTGGAGTGTGTGTGTCTGGGAGTGCTTCCTGGAGCAAATGACATTTAAGCTGAGAATATCTTGTTTTACAAGCCAAGGAACAAGCCTGTTTCAAGAAGGGTGGGGTTATCAGCTTCAGATGCTGCTGATGTAACTTTGAGGAGCTGGTGGGGTGATCTGGGAACACATCAGACTGGATTGAGTGAGGACCAAAGGCATCTGGTAGCGAGAACTCGAAAAGCTGGCTGGGAGGGGAGGAAAGGTGTGGACAGAATAGCCAGAGATGTGGAACTGAGAGAACTCTAGTTTTCCCCCCAAGACAGGAGAAACTTAAGCATGTTAAATGCTGCTGGGAAAGGGCCAGCAGAGACAGAGGGGACAAGTGGAGGTAGGAACGGAGGCTCAACCCCACCATCATTCCTCCACTAAAGAAGCATCAGTGAGCACTAGACACGTGCCAGGCACTTTGACAAAGGCCAACAAGGTCTGTGCTTTTATGGAACTTGTTTTCTAGGGAGGGAAATTAGAAAACAAGAATTAAGAAAACAAATCAGGCCGGGTGCAGTGGCTCATGCCTGTAATCCTAGCACTCTGGGAGGCCAAGGCGGGTGGATTGCTCGAGGTCAGGAGTTCGAAACCAGCCTGAGCAAGAGCGAGACCCCGTCTCTACTATAAATAGAAAGAAAAAGAAATTAGCTGGGCATGGTGGCGCATGCCTGTAGTCCCAGCTACTCGGGAGGCTGAGGCAGGAGGATCGCTTGAGCCCAGGAGTCTGAGGTTGCTGTGAGCTAGGCTGATGCCACGGCACTCACTCTAGCCTGGGCAACAAAGCGACACTCTGTCCCAAAAAAAAAAAAAAAAAAAAAAAAAGAAAAAGAAAAAGAAAACAAATTAACAAGATAATGTTAGCTCATGGTGATTGCAATGAGGAGATAAAATGGGGTAATGGGGTGGTGCAACCCAAGGAAAGGTGAGATCACAAGGCCCAGGTTGCCACAAGGTGTGTTGCAGGTGCTGCAAGGCCTGGGGGAGCTGGGGGCGGGGCGTGGGGATGGTGTGGAGGCTGCAGAAGGAAACAGGTCAGGACAAAGAGGGGAGGACAGAGGAGGGTCCAGAGGCCCCTTGCAGGTGACAGAGTTGGAGTGTTACAGGCTGGACTACCTCAGTGTTGCCCATTAGGTCATGACAGACAAGTCAACTACAGACTTCACTTCTGCTCCTGAGTGGCCCTGAGACCGTACCATTCTCCTGGTCACGGTGACTAGAAGCCTAAGTTATGACTCTTGGCTCCTCTCTCCCTAGGACAGAGCCTGGATGGAAGCACCAGGGAAGAATGGAAGGGCCCTCAAATCAAATCCCGCTACTCTTCCACTCTCCTCCTGTCTTCCCGGCTCCTCCTCCAGCATGTGGCCTCCTCCCCGCCCCCCTAGACTCCTTCTCTCCACCAGAAGGGAGGACCAACAGGTCAGAGTGGGGGTGAGAACCTGGGGATCAGAATCATGGCCTTGCCCTGGGAGTTGGGGGTGGGGAAGCTCTGCTGGGGTGAGGTCAGGGCACTGCCTGCCTCAGTCCTCGCTTCCCCACATCGTCTCCTGGATGGGTGCCTTCTGAGCCCTGATGAGGGTGAAACCCCAGAGCCCTGCCTGCTCCCCAGGTGTCCCTCCCTCTCCTCTCTGCCTGGGCCCAAAACACCTCCTGAGAACCTCCACTCTGGGCAAATGCCACCCATTCAGTCACCTCCAGGCATTGCTTATGCCGAAACAAGGGGGTTGGATCATTCTGAAAGCAACTAGAAGCCAAAGGAGCAATCCCAGCCATAACTCTGGAGGGTCAGACCAGGGTGCTGATAGGGGCCCGAGGGGCAGGGCAGGTGGGAGAAGGACGTGTCACCTGCCCAGCTGCAGGCTTGAGCCCTTCCTCAGGCTTGTTTCTGCCAAAGCCTCTTACTCTGTGTGGCCTGAGAGTCTTTGTCCCAGAAAGTCCAGGTAAGGGTGAGAACCAGCTGGGAGGAATTTGATCTGCCACACCCGGAGCCATGGTCCCCGCCTCTAGGGGGCCTGGATGTGGGTGGGTGCTCCGGCAGTGGCAGTGTCGCTGACACACAAGCAGGAGGTGTCCTTAGGGAAGCAGCTGATACGTCCACACAGGCTGAATGATTCTTGAGGTGGCTTGGCTGTCTGATTCCCCGGCGATGCTGCTCCTGCTGGCCTTGCTGGGGGCTGTCCTGCTGGGGGCTGCCCTGCTTTCCAGGCGACACCCTCCAGCGCGGGACAAGATCTCCAGGGCACAGAAGCGGAGGGAGGAGGCGCTGCAGCAGATGGAGGCCCTGGCCCAGCGTCTTCGGCAGCAGGTGCGCAGATATGGATCCCCGGGGGCCTTAGCCCTCGATCCCAATAGGCAGACCACCCCGCAGGATGGGGCCTCTCCCATGGCTTCATCCCCTTCAGAGACAGGGAGCCGGTGGGCAGCCCCCACCCCCTGCTCTCCCCACGCTGGTTCTCTGTGTGGCTGTCAGTTCTCCTCCGTCTGCATCCTTCGAGCCCCTGGAGGTGGGGGGCAGTGAGTTTTCTCTGTTCTCCCAGCGCATATGGCTCAGTAACATGGTGCTCACTTGGGGTACTTGTTGAGATAAACTGATGGAGGCGATTGCGGGTGGGAGGCCAGGCCTCCTTCAGGCCCTGAGCACCCCTAAACCCCATGGAGACAGGAACTCTCTAGTCTACACATCCCCCCTCCCACCCCCAACCTATTCAGTTCTGAAAACGTTTGCTGAGCACGTGATAGGTGCAGCGCACAGGACGCTGGAGACAGGGCCTCCCAGGAAGCTGCATGTCTTAAAGGTGGCTTTGACAGCTCAGGTGGGGGCATTTCAAGGCATAGAGGCAGTCACTGCAGCTGGTTGGGCTGAGATTAGCAGGTGGAGTGGCTGGGCCATGGGTGTATCTGCAAAGGGTGGTGGAGAGATGGGGGTGAAGGAGGGGCACGGAGACAAATGTAGACTGAGCCTGGGATTTGCTGTGTGGTCTGGAGGATGTGACAACCCATCTCTGGTCCTTGGGCTCCCCAACTGCCTGAGGAGGGGTGGGCTCACGGTATCTTGGGCTCCCCAGCTTTGGTTGATGGTGGCAGACGCCCCCTGGGAGCCCTGGGGGTGGGGGTTGGGAGAGAGCCTGAGGTGCTGTCCCTGTGCTCTGGAGTTCCTGAGCGTCCTCTGCAGTGCCCGGGACGGTGATTGATGGCCCCGATGGGCGGCTTCTCTGCTCGAGCTGCTGCGGTTGCTGAGATGTGTATTAATATTAATTGGGGCTAATTAGTTGGATAAATCAATCTGCCCCCGGAGAGCAGCTGCCCCTCCCTGGCTGATGAGGAAGTCTGGGCTAATGGGGTTGCTGCGGCGCCGGCGTGATGGAGAGGGCTCCCGTGTGCCCGCGGAGGCCCCAGCTGTGTGCGGTGGTGGTCAGTTCCTTCACCGCAGATGGGGGCCTGCTAGCGTGTGCCTCCTGCTGGGGTCTCGCCGTGTTGGGTGTGTGTGTGTCTGGTCTGGCTGTGTGGGTATGCGCCTGGCTGCGTGTGTATGTGCTGTGTTACTGGTTGGAGTGCGCATGCGTAGATACGGGTGCTGGTGTGGGTCTGAATGTTTGGTCGAGTGTGTTCATGTGTGGTTGCGTGTCTGGTATATGGGGACAGCTGGTTCCGTGTGTGTCTGGGCTTCCAGTTGGTGTAACTGTGGACGTCTGGGGGAGGCAGCCTATTGGGCTGGGGACCCGGTTGGCTGGAGGAGCGGAAGGGGTTAGATGTGAGGTCACCCGTGGTGTCTTCCGCCTCCCCTCGCGGCTGCAGGCTTCTCGGCTCTCAGCACCAAGCCTCCTCCCCAGCAAAGCGGTACAGGTCTACCCTGGGCACCTTCCCAGTTGTGTCTCCCTCTGCCAGGGATACCCTCGAGACCTCAGGTGTCCAGCTTTATGTCGCAGGGGAGGCAGAAGACTGACACATAGGTCAAACCCTTGCAGAGTTCAGTCAAACAAGTCCAGTTCAGTTCAGTTTAGCAAAATTTCACAGGGGGTTCCTCTGGGTCTTGCCTTGTGCTAGACTCTGGGGCAGATTCATGGTAAAGATGAATCAGACATCTGATCTAGACTTGTCTTAAAGATGTTCCCAAGCTGGATGGGGTGTGGTAGAAGCAGAGCTATGCAAACCGTGCTGAGAGGCAGCTGAGCCAGTGTGAGAAGGGCCAGTGGAGCTCTGGGACAAGCCAGGAGGGTGAGGCTTGTCTGTCTGGAGAAGGTCATGCTGGGAAGTCTTCACAGAGAGGTGGCGTTTGAGCTGAGCCTCGCCGGATGTGTAGGGACTCCCCCAAAGAAGGAAGGAACAAGAAAGGCAGGGAGGGGAAAGCCTGGAATGAGGCAGTGTTTCTGTCGAATACGTGGAAAATGCGATGGAGGCTGCTGGCCAGGAGTCTATGGCCACCTGAAGCAGAACCTGGCCACCCTGAAGCTTGAGGGTTTTATGTTACTAAATGGATTTAACAGCCACATTGGAAATATTAATACTAAAGCAATTGATTAAAAACTTCAAAATATAGGCCGGGCGCAGTGGCTCACGCCTGTAATCCTAGCACTCTGGGAGGCCAAGACGGGCGGATTGCTCAAGGTCAGGAGTTCGAAACCAGCCTGAGCAAGAGCGAGACCCTGTCTCTACTATAAATAGAAAGAAATTAATTGGCCAACTAATATATATAGAAAAATTTAGCCAAGCATGGTGCGCATGCCTGTAGTCCAGCAACTCGGGGCTTGAGGCAGAAGAGATCACTTGAGCCCAGAGTTTGAGGTTGCTGTGAGCTAGGCTGATGCCATGGCACTCACTCTAGCCTGGGCAACAAAGTGAGACTCTGTCTCAAAAAAAAAAAACCTTTAAAATATATATCTTTTGTTTTTCAAACTATGCCGGGAGAGAGCACTGAGAGGAGTGAAGTGCAGGCGTCCATGTGGCTGTGGGCTGGGTGGAGCAGGTGGGCTGATGTGCTCTAAACTATATATTAAATGACATAAAAGTGATATAACTCGAAGTTCAATGTTTTCATCACATTATTCTAACTCCAAACAATGTGTTGATTTGTAGAATTCGTTGAGGGTTTTTTTGATGCGGCTGTCATCTTTTTGAAGGGCACCCCTGTCCTTCAGAGTCCTCTTTTCTTTCTTTTTTTTTTGAGACAGAGTCTCACTCTGTTGCCCAGGCTAGAGTGAGTGCCGTGGCGTCAGCCTACCCTCATAGCAACCTCAAACTCCTGGGCTCAAGAATCCTGCGCCTCAGCCTCCTGAGTAGCTGGGACACAGGCATGCACCCCATGCCCAGCTAATTTTTTCTATATATATATTAGTTGGCCAATTAATTTCTATTTATAGTAGAGATGGGGTCTCGCTCTTGCTCAGGCTGGCTTGGAATTCCTGGCCTCAAGTAATCCACCCGCCTTGGCCTCCCCGAGAGCTAGGATTACAGGTGTGAGCCACCGAGCCCGGCCTCTCAGAGCCCTCTTAAATTGAGAGTCATTAGGTGACTTGCAGTCTCATTACGGAGTCTTTCTCTTAATGTCAACGACATCATTCCTTGGGTTGAGTCCTCTCTCAGCTTTTGTTGAACCATAGCAATTACACCAACAATCTTCTAGCTCTTCTAACACCAACTAAGATTTTATACAGTTAAGCATTTCTGTTATCAACTAAGTCATAAGCATTATTTTTTTGTTTTGTTTTTTTTGAGACAGAGTCTCACTCTGTTGCCTGGGCTAGAGTGCTGTGGCGTCAGCCCTAGCTCACAGCAACCTCAAACTCCTGGGCTCAAGCAATCCTCCTGCCTCAGCCTCCCGAGTAGCTGGGACTACAGGCCTGCACCACCATGCCCGGCTAATTTTTTCTATATTTTAGCTGGCCAATTAATTTTCTTTCTATTTTTAGTAGAGACGGGGGTCTCATTCTTGCTCAGGGTGGTTTTGAACTCCTGACCTTGAGCAATCCTCCCGCCTGGGCCTCCCAGAGTGCTAAGATTCCAGACCTGAGCCACCGTGCCTGGCCAAGCATTATTATTAGAATGTCGTAACAGATTGTGTTGACCCTAATCAGAGGCTGTGTGACATGGCAGTTAAGCATGTGGCCTCTGATGCTGGGCTCCCTGTGTTTGAATCCTGACTCTGACACATTTTATAGTATTCTCATAAGTTAATACATGTTTACAGTGGTGCCTGGTACACAGCAAGCACTATATAGATGCTCCTCGACTTACCATGGGGTTTCATCCCGATAAACTCATTGTAAGTTGAAAATATTGTAAATTTAAACTGCATTTAATGCACCTAACCTATTGAACATCAGAGCTTAGCCTAGCTGGAGCACCTAAACGTGCTCAGAGCCCTGACATTAGCCTCTGGTTGGGCAGAATCCCCTGGCGACACAGTAGTCTGTAACGTATCAGTTGTTCACCTTATGATTACGCGGCTGACTGGGAGCTGTGGCGTTGCTGCTGCCAGCATCACAAGAGGGCATCACACTGCTTTCCACTGAATACGTATCACTTTCACACCATCACAAAGTCAAAAAATTGTAAGTTGAAGCATTGTAAGTCTGTATAAGTGATAATTCTCTGTATAAGTCTATATAACTTATAATTCTCACTTTAGTAGTAATAAAGCTAATGTTGTCCATGATGAGTGGGCATTTTGGGTGAATTTCAATGAATTTGATGGAAATGACACTCAACAGCATTGGTGAAAAGGCTTTCTTGGGCTGTTGAAAGCCACTCTCCCCAGGTCACTGGAATGCCTGCCATGCTGACAGATGGACAGTCTCAGCAGACCCCTCATTAGCACCCCCAGGCCTGCTCTCCCCACTTTACCCCAGCTCCCTGAGAGCCAAAGTCTCCCAGAGGCTGCCATTCCCACAAGTGGCCATGCAAGGACAACTTCAGGGGAACCCTAACTTCAGGGGTCCAGATGGACACACTGGGCACTTGCCCAAGAGGGTATCACCTCTGGGTAGATACGTAGAAATGGTAGCTGGCATGTGGCACACCCTGAAGTTTCCGTGTGCACCTGTGGGCCAGTGAGTGCTGGGATGGTCCCTGGCAGGGCCTGCTAAGGCTCCTTAGCACTGGAGCAGGCAGGGCAAAGGGTGAGCATAGGTTGGCCCTCCACAGTCCCTGAGGGGTTCAAAGGCCCGAGCATTAACTCTTTACTTGCTGGACTGTGCAGAGTCCCAGGGGAGGGGGTAGGACAGCTAGGTGGTTGGGGTGCCCAGTGGAGCAGCTTTTTGCCAAAGGACTCAGAAGCATTTCAATATTTTAGCCACTGGCGCAGCTGTAGAGGGGCAGCCTACCCCTGTCCCAGGGAGTCTAGGCCCTCCTCAAAGTCCTTGTGGCACACGAGCTGGGGAGCTCTGAGCTCCTCTGAGGCACAGCAGGTAGAGGAATGGGCAGTGTGGCTTGAGCAGCACGGACAGGAGGGTGCCCAGAAAGGCAGGCCCACTGGGCCCCAGGTAGGGGAAAAGCCTAGTGCAGTGCCTGGCTCCCTGCCCTTGGAGCCATCTGAGGGTAGTGGTTAAGGTGGAGATGACCAGGGTTTAAGCCCAGGCTCCCCCACCTTTATGGCCTTGGGCAAGAGAGTTAACTCTGCATCTCAGTCACCTTCACTGGGGAAAGGGTGATCAGAGCACGGAGCCAAGGGTTTTCGTGAGGTTGATGAAACGGTGCAGTATGGGGCTTGACAGGGCTCCCCATTATGCAGTGATACCGTGCGCACTCGGTCAACAAGGACTGTGTGCATCTAAATACGGACTCACGTTCCGTGTTCACAAGCCGTGCTGAGAATGGTGTTGCAATGTTAGCCTGGGGGCAATAGGGACCTAGTGTTAGACTGGGTTGTATAAGATCTCAAAAGATTGGCCAGGCTGTAGTGAAGAGGCTGAGCTGGAGGGGTAGAGACCAAGGGAGGAAGGCCGGTGAGAAGGCTGTTGAGCTGACTGAGAGAAGAAGGTCCCAGGCAGGCAGGGGGCTGGGCGCCAGTGGTGCGAGATATGATGGAGCAGGGTCACCGCCTGCAGGCAGTACGTGCGGCTAAGGCAGGGTCACTGGAACCCATCTGCCTGGGCTCTGCCACTCACTATGATAGTTATGTGTCCTTGGGCAAATGGCTCTCTGTGTCTCAGTGTCTTCTTCTGCTGTAAAATAAGAAAATAACACGATCTACCTCCTAGGTTTGTCGCAAGGAGTAATGTAAGTTCTTATATGTAAAATGTTTGGAGTGGGGCCTGCCACATATTAAGTGTTATAAAACATCCCATGTGTGATTATGTGTTAGCTATTATGACTGTTATTGTAACTTGGATGTGAGGGAGGGGTCTAGGATGATGCTGAGCTTTGTTGCTTTGGTGACCTGAGTGTCATCAATTAGAAATTTCAAGAACAGATTTGGTAGAAAAACGATGAGTCCTGGGGACTCCCGGAATATGTGGGTGGGTAAACGGGTCTGAGGCCTGGCAGGAGAGAGGACTGGGTTGGAGAAACAGGTCACCTGCATGTCTTCAGGGCACTGCTGGCTGCTGAGGTCACCCGGGGAGGGCGGGCAGGCAAGGAGAGAAAAGGCCAAGCCCTGAAGAGCACCAACATTTTGCGAGACTGAGAAGAAGCCACCGGCAGGCGGAAGGAAGCCAGGAGGGTCGGGGGCATAGAGGGTTTCTGGAAGGAGAGAGTCAGACGCTGCTGGGGAGAGTAAGGTGAGGACTGACAGGGACCCACGAGATGTAATAACCGAGAAGTCCTGGTGCCCTTGGTGGGAAGGAGCTCAGTGGAGTGGGGTGGACAGATGCCAGACTGGGTGATTTGAGGAGCGAGTGACAGAAGAGAGATTGGAGCCAGGGATCCCCCAACCTCCCAGGGAAATTTCCTTGGCTCCCTACTTCTCTCCAGGACCAAGAAAGGCCCACCGCGCTGTCTTCCCACCCAGCCCTCACACCAGCTTGGTGGCCTCAGGGTCTCAACCAGGGCTGATGAGGACAGGAGGGAAGAGAACTTTGGCTTCCTGAGCGCCTGCTGTATGCAGAGCCCTTGGCATGTCACGCTTGCCAGGACGGCGGTCCCGAGGGCTGGTATCAGGCCTTCCTGACACCCTGAGGGATGGGGCTCCAGGCAGCAGAGGGGCTTGTCAGCACGCCTGGCTCCTGACTGCCTCCCAGTCTCCTCTCTGAGAGGCCTCGGCTGTGGGAGGGGCAGGGACCCACCCCAGGTGCCCTGGCCAACCAGTGATGTGGTCAAGGCTGGGTGCCAGCTCTCCTGCCACCATGCTGGACTCTTGTCCTCTGCTAGGGTGGGATCAGCAGGACAGGAGGACTGGAGAGGGAGAAGGCGGATGCCTGGGATGCCTCCTGAGGGCAAGACACTCGGAGCTAAACTTCACTTCCAAGATGTCACTTCCCCCGGTCCCAAGATGTTGCATGTGGAGTCACTACCCACTCCAACTGTGACCCTTGTGAAGAGCTACCCAAGGGGCAGGGCCTTCTCTGTGCCAGGCCCTGGGCTGGGCACTGGGGGACAGAGACAGAAGAGAACATCTGTACCCTCGAAGGGCTTTCACGCCTGCCTGAGACAGACCAGGGGATGTTCTTAGCACCAAGGATGAGCACAGGGACATGTGTGGGCCCACGGATGCGTGTGCAGCTGAGCATCCAGTGGAGCATGGGCGTGTGAGGTGGAGTGTCTGGGAGTGGGCCTGAGCCACTCAGTCTTTGATATCTGATCGCCTTACCCCATCTCCTCAGGAGCCAGACCTGGACCCTGAGCCCATCCTGGAGTTGTCCCTGGCAAAGCTGGCCCAGAAGCTGCAGGCTGAGGAGCTGAGTCTGGAGGGCGTCCTCTGCAGCTACCTGGAGCAGGTGTGGGTCAGGGGTCAGCATCTGAGCCCGGGGTTCTGGGGTGGAGTAGGGGATGTCACCTGTCATTCTATTTTTTTTTTTTGAGACAGAGTCTTGCTGTGTCACCCAGGCTAGAGTGCCGTGGCATCAGCCTAGCTCACAGCAACCTCAAACTCTTGGGCTCAAGCGATCTTCCTGCTTTAGCCTCCTGAGTAGCTGGGACCACAGGCACGTTTCACCATGCCCAGCTAATTTTTTGTTTCTATTTTTAGTTGCCTGGCTAATTTTTTCTATTTTTAGTAGAGACAGGGTCTCGCTCTCACTCAGGCTGGTCTCGAACTCCTGAGCTCAAGCGATCCTCCTGCCTCGGCCTCCAGGGGTGCTGGGATTACAGATGTGAGCCACTGTGCCTGGTCTGGTGTTCAGTCTAAGAGGAGTTTAGGAGCTGGTGGAACTCAGTGGTTCTGCCACTGACTTGGGAGGGGGCACATGCCACAGTCTCTTCAGGGTGGTGGGAGGGGCCGGGTGACTGAGTGCCCTACCTCAGCCCAGGCCTCACCCGGGCCCTGGCCTGGTCTCTTCACTATGGCTCAGGCACTGAGGGTGCACCAGGAGGTGAACTGTCTGACTGATTTCCTGGGGGAGTGTGAGGAGCAGCTGCAGGCACTGAAGAAGCTTAAGAAGAGTGAGCGAGGCCCTCTCTACGGGGTCCCTATGAGCCTCAAGGACACGTACGACTGCATGGTGAGCCCTGGGGTATACGTGCACATGTGTGCATGGATATGTGCGTGCATGCATGCGCCACCAAGCCTGTGAGCATCTAAGTGTGTGACACTTGGCAAGTTATCTAACCAAAGATGCACAGCTAGAAAGCAGCAAACTGGGACTTGAACCCAGCAGTTCAGACTTAACCACATGCTCTTCTGCCACCCGAGCACCCTTGGACGACAGCGTTTGTGTGCGAGGGCGTGAGAGCATACATGAGTGGAGGCAGGCTGGGGCTGGGAGTCCGCCAACGGGGTGATTCCAGCCAGACCCCCACAGGCTGGAGGTACCTTTCCTTCCCTGCAGGGCCATGACTCAACGTGCGGCATGGTGCATTTCCTAGAGAAGCCTGCGGCCAAGGATGGGGTCGTCGTGAAAGTGCTCAAGGCCCAAGGAGCCATTCCCTTTGTTAAGACCAACATCCCACAGACGCTGCTCAGGTCTCTGGAGCAGGCAGGCTGGGAGCTGGGGCTGGGCTGAGCCCAGGGCTGAAGAAGCTCATGAAAGTCCCCATCCAGGGCAGAGGGTGAGGTGGGGGCTCGTCATGCAGACTTCGAGGGCCGGGGTTCTTGGGCAAGTCCTTTCTGCCCTCTGGACCTGCATGTCCTCACCCTACAACAAGCAGATGGGCTGACTCCAGGGTCTGTAAGTGCCCTTTGGGCCCCATGGTTCTGTAAAGTTACATTTCTGTTTCTCCCTGGCTCCTCTGGTGTTCTCCTTATCCCCTGTTCTCTCTCCTCCCTACTCAGCCTTTAGTGTGTCTGTTTTTGTGAGGAACCAGTTCTCAGTTTTGACTGCAGAGCTGTGGGCTTCTTGGTCCTCATTTCAGAGTCCTGGCTGGTGTCTGATCTCGGTCTTTCCAGCTGCAGCAGCGGCAGCCCTCACCCCAAGGGAAGGGAGACGAGGAGGCCTCAGCCTTAGGGAGGCGCTCACAGAGCCAGAGGCGCCCTGGAGTTGGCTCTGGAGGATGCTTGGCTTCCAAATGGGGAGGGGAGGTCCACCCCAGTGAGACTTTCACCTCCAGCTCCTTTTCTTCTGCTTCCCTTAGCTTTGACTGCAGCAACCCCATCTATGGCCAGACCCTGAACCCATTGAACTTAAAGAAGACGCCTGGGGGCTCCTCAGGGGGTGAGGCAGCTATGCTGGCAGAGCGGGGCTCCATCCTGGGCATGGGCACTGACACAGGTGGCAGCATCCGCATACCGGCCAACTTTTGTGGTGTCTGTGGCCTCCGGACCACCGGAAACCGCCTCAGGTACTCATGGATGTGGTGATGGGGTGGGCTCAGCACAGCCGAGAGGCACTAGGGGCTGGGGGAGTAGACGGGCCTGCTCATACCATCAGCGTCACCCACTCAGCTCACTACAGGGGGAAATGGGTGAAGGGAGGAGGGCTTCAAATAACTGCTGCTCCAAGCACAGCTAGGCATACCGAGTTTTGTACAGATGGCAGTAGAATAGACCTTCCACTCGCTCCTTAATTCATCCCTTCATCCCTTCATTCATTCATTCAGCTATCTACCCACCTACCCTTGCCTTTATTCATTAATCAATCGCTCCATTTTTATCCATCCATCCATCCTTATTCCATTCAACCACCCATGCAGTCATCATCTCAGTCTCTGTCAATCGATTTTGCCATTGATCTGCTATTTAATTTATTTAGCAAATTTTCATTGAGTGTTTACTCTGTGCCAGACATGCAGCACTAGCTACTTGGGATACAACAGTGAATAAAATGGACAAATATCTCAGCCCTTGACAGACTTACTATATCCCTCCTTCCATTCATTCATTCATTCATTCATTCATTCATCCATTCATCTATCCATCCATTCATCTATCCATCCATCTATCAGTCCACATTTGTAGTTATCCATATATCTACCCATCTATCCACCCATATTTCCATTAATCTTTTTATCCATGCATGTGTGCATCCATTCATCTTTCAAACCCTCTCTGAGTACTCACACTGAGGCCCCTATACTGGGACACAGATCACTTTCATACTCAGCTCCTGCCGCTGCTGTGTTCTTAGACACCCAAAGGGCTTAGTCAGAAAGTGATCAGGGCTCCAAAAGGAGTCAAAGCTTATGGGAAGGCACAAGATGAAGCTGACATTTTCTTCAACAGAGATTTATTAAAAACCTACACTTTCAACTTTCAGAAGCAGGGCAAGGGAAGAGAAGGATTCTTGGAGGAGGTAGCATTTGAACTTAGTTTTGAAGGCTGAACATGCAGAGTTGGTGTGGAGTCTGGAAGGCTGTGAGGCTGTAAGCAGCTTACGTTGCCTGCAGCAATATGCATGTGGAAGGGCTAGAAAGGGAAGCTATGGAGAGTTGATCCTTTACAGCCTTGAAGGACAGTCAAAGAGATCAACTTATGCTGTGGGCAGGAGAGCGTCATGGAAGGTTGAAGTGGGCTGGGCCCTGGGGGAGTGCATTGACTGGGTGCTCGAGCCTCCTGGCACCCAGGCTGCTCTCTTCAGATGCTGAGCTGGGCTCTTGCTGGGTGGGGTTTTGCAGCTACTCTGGAATTGCCTCTGCTATCAAGGGCAAGAAATCGGGTAAGTCCCTGTCTGTGCCTGTGGCCACAGTCACTCAAAGACAAACCTGTCAGCCTTTCTCCCAAGAGTATTTCACTCAGCCCGTATCTCCAGACAGAGCAGCTCCACAGGTGATGTCTGGGAGAGGAGATTGCATGGCTCCCACCTGGCTTCCCCTAGTCCAGTGGTCCTTGTCCCACTGAGCAGCACTTCCTATTATCTAGCTTTAATCTCTCCTGCTGGTCTCCTGATGCTCTGTCCCAGATGAGATTCTCCCATCAGGCACCAAAGTTGCTGTGGTCCATCTACCAATGGAACCAGTCCTCAATCTCTGCCCAGGATGGCACCAAGACTTTTTCCTTTGGTCCTGGTTATGGCCCTTGGCCCCATCCTTTGAGGCCAGGCAGTAGGGATCCCCAAAGCAGAAAGAATATGAGGTGTCTGCCTCCCCCTCCTGCTCCCCATGCAGTGACCACAGTGGCTGGCCCCATGGCCCGGGATGTGGAGAGCCTGGCACTGTGCATGCGCGCCCTGCTGAGTGAAAACATGCACCAGCTGGACCCCACTGTGCCTCCCCTGCCTTTCAGGGAGGAGGTAAGCTGGTTGGGGTAGCAGACCTGGGGGGCTCCCTCCCCTCCCCTCCCATCATGCCTCACCTACCTGTCTGCATCTTACCATCCCCTGCAAAGATCTCCTTTCCCATCCCAGGGTGTAGTGAGCAGGAAGCCCATATGCTCAGTCCTGTTTGTGTCCCACCCCTGTTGGATATCAGCTTCTTTGGCCTCTTGGCTATCTGGAGCTATAGCTATAATTGCACCCAAAGAGGGAACATATGCAGGCAGAATACTCAGCAGGTGTGGTTCAGAGTCTGGTATCTAGTTAAGCTGGGCTCTTAACCCTTTAGGTAACCCTGGCCAAGTCACATCTCTTCTGTAGGCCTCAGCCTCCCCATGAGGACAATAAAGAGGCTAGACTGGAAGATTGGTCCAGGCCCTTCCAGCTCTGGCAGCCTTCAATTACTCATAGATTCACTCAACAACATTTATTTGTGCCAACTATGTGTCAGGCTCTTTGTATTTCATCCTAACACTCGCTCAGTAGGATGAGCACTGCTCTTCCCATTTATAGGTGAGGACACTGAGGGGAAGTGAAATGACTCAATGACATGATCATACAGTTAGTAACTGGCAAAGCTGGCCTTGGGCCCAACCTTATCTGAGTCCAGAACCCGCTCAATAGGGCAGAGTCTCTGTCTGCCACACAGCAGTGTCTGTTCATCTGATTCCTTACCGCCGTCCTAGCATTCATCACCAACCTGGGATCATTGTCTGCTACCCATTATTTGTCCCAATTGATCTCTCCATCTTCATCCTTTTCTAACAGTTCTTTAGCTTAAAGATACTGGTGTCTATTCATCTACTTGCTCACCTGCCCACTTAACTCCAGCCATCCATTCATCGACCCACCCACTTATATATCCAACCCTCTGCCACCCACCCACCATCTCAGACATGCATCCATTCACCCACTCATGAATCTATCTACCATCTATCTACCCAACCCCTCCATCCATCCAATCACCCATCTCCCCATTCATTTCTCATTCTTCCAAGTGTTTCCCCAGAGCACCTAGACCTGCAGAGCATATAGGGAAGCTCCCAGGGTCTCTTGGGAAGTCCATGTGGATTCCCCTTGGGTGAGGACAGCTATGGCCCAAGACCCTGCCCTACAAATGTGGCCCCTGGAGAGAGTGAGGCTACCTTGTCCCCAGCCCAATCTCCCCTCTGAGCCCCTTGTTACCCCAGGTGTACTCCAGTAACCGGCCCCTTCGAATCGGCTACTACGAATCAGACGGCTATACCCAGCCATCCCCTAGCATGGCCAGGGCCGTGCAGCTCACCTCCAGGCTGCTCCAAGATGCAGGACACCAGGTAGGCTCCACCTAGCCCCGGTGGGGAGAGAGGTGGGACTGGTATGAGCATGCTGGGCTGGGCCATCCCTGGGGATATAGGAGGTTATGTCTGAATTTGGGCTGCTTAGACAATTGTGTTTTTCCTGAGCTTCTTGGAGAAGACTGATGAGGTGGGGGCAGGGCGAGCCCCATCCTGTAGGGAAGGCATTAAGGTTTTGTGCCTTCTCCCCTCAGTGGTGGAGACTTAGGGACCCAATCCTATAATTCCTTTAGCCTGGGTTCTCTGTCTCCATCAGATGGCTGTACGGAGCTCTGTCTTGAAAATCCTCACCCCCAGCCCAACCTCTACCTCCCCTGCCCCCAGTGGCTTGTCCTGGCCCCATGTCCTCTTTGAGAACGGCTGGTTGACCACACACTTACTATGTGATCTTGGGCCAGTCTCTCAATCTCCTCGAGTCTCAGTTTTCTACCACATGGGGTGGCCGTGAAGATTAAACGAGGTCCCATAGGACAAGCACGTGGCACACTGGCTGGATCCAGTGAAGCATGCAGGAAATGAGGGCTGCCCTAATTGTGTTGCATCTGCTGTGTGGGGCTGAGGGTGTGGGCATGGCAGGAGAGGGGTCAGCCACACGGGCCTCCCATGCCCTGCTGAGGGGCCGAGGTGGACGGAGATGAAGGGGTGGTGTGGCATCCCCCTTTAAATCCTGGGGAATGAAGAGGAGCTCCAGGCTCTTAGACAATTTGGGCTGCTTGTGTCTCTCCAGGTCATCCCCTTCTCCATTCCTCGCATAGAGTATGCCATCGAACACCTGTACTTTGGGGGTCTGTATGGCGATGGAGGGGCCACCCTGCTGGAGAAATTGTATGTCATCTGTTGGGACTTGAATGGGGATGGGCAGGGGGGCTGAAGCCAATCCAAGCTCCAAGAGGGGAACTGGAGGCCTGGGCCGGAATGCCTCTGGCTAACAGTGTGACCTTACGCCACAAGGCACCCACTCAGGCCACGTCTTTAGGATGCACGAGTCCCAGGGGCAGGGCCGGAGCAGAAGTGTGTCTTTGGCTCTGACCTCCCTCTTGTCTATGGAGGGGAAGTTGGGTGGGTCCCACTGTGGGGACAGACCAAGACTGAAAGGCTCTAATGGACCCAATATGTGACTGGCTCCTCAGAGAAGGGGACATTGTGGACCCCAGCATAAAGGAGATGGTCAGCCGTTTACGCCTGCCAGACCCTGTCAAGCGTTTCATGGTCTGGATCCTGAAGTACATAGTGAGTGTGGCCATGCATGGGGAGGGCTTCAGAGGGGCAGGGGGTCTGGCGACGGGATGGTCCAGAGAGGGGATGGGGCTCAGGGAGGGTGGGGGGCTCTCAGAGGGAGAGGGTGGCTCAGAGAGGGGTTCAAAAAGGGGAAGAAGAAATAAAGGAGGGGGTACTCATGGGGCAGAGGCTCAGGAGGGGAAGGAGATTTAGAGCAGGGGGCGCTTAGAGTGGGCTCAGGGCTGGTGAAGTGGTGGGGGCTTGTTGAGGAGCAGAGGGCTCCGTGTCAGTGTGCTGAGCAGTGGTGCCCTTCCCGGACCCCCGACCTGAGCAGGCTGGCTGCTCCTCTGTGGATTCTGAAGGTGGTCTCCTCCCTCTCATCCCACCTCTAGGACCCCCGAGCTAGCCGGGCTTTGGAAGAGACTTGTGGTGTGGGGTGAGTCTCCTCAGGTCCAGCTCTGGCCCACAAAGGTTGTCCACAGGGTGGTGGGAACTGGGTGAGGGGCATGTGGCTGGAGGTGGTGTCCACTTTGGGGGAGAACTATTTGGATTTTGGAGTCTAGTTAGGGTTTTGGGATCATGCTTGACATTAGGGTTAGATCAAGACTTTTGATTGGCAGTGGGATTGGGGCTGGTTGAGGGCCAGGATTTGATTTGGAGTTAAGATCTGAGTCAAGGCTAGAATTGGGGTCAGGTTGAGGTAAAGGTTGGGGCTGAAGTTGAGCTTAGATTTTGGCTGGGTTTGGAATTGGTTTGAGTTGGGGTTGGTGGTGAAGATAGACTTGGATTCAGGGTTGGGATTAGGGTTGGAACTGGAGTGGGGCTAGAGTTAGGGTTAGAGGTGAGGTTGGGAGGAGATTCTGAATTTGCTGTTGGGGTTGGCCTGGTGGGGGTTAGAGTTGAAGTACTGGGTATAACCGAGCTGGAGTGGCCTGAGGGCTAACCAGATGCCTCACAGATTAGAGGAAGAAGCCTGTGGCCTCTGGGGGGCCCATGAGTCCCTGTGGCTGGTGGAGTGGAGAGAGAGGTTGACCAGAGGAGGTGTGCTCTTGGGGACCTTAGACAGGGTATCTTAGACGGGGGACAAGACACCGAATCACCTCCAGCCCTTCAGCTGATTTGCAGCCTACACTAAGGCCATGAGTGCCAGATTCCTATTTGTATAAAATGAGACCCTCCCATGCTGACCTTTGACCTTCTCAGAGTCTTCCTCATTTCCCCAGGACACCCAAGAAACTGTGGGAGCAGCAGGCAGCAGTGCAGGTAAAGTGTGCCTAGGAAGACCTCAAGGGGTGCTGGAGCTGGGGCCACAGGACCTGGGTGGTGACCTGAGTGGCCAGACAGGGGGCAGAGCTCTGGCCTGGCCTGCAGGGGAGGCCCAGCTGGACCTGGATGGGGAGGCTTAGTGACCTCCCCATATATAGAAGTTATTCTAAGACTTCCCCAATAAATAGAAGTTATTCTATTCCATCTCTGTGAAGCATTGTCCCCAAATTATTGCAGCCTGAGAGTCCCCTTCCCATCCCTTTACCTCAGTCCCTGGGAAGATCCTGACCCTCCCCAGCTATCTCACAGCCCAAGAGTGCTTCCTGCTGTGTGCCCCACTCCGCCTGGCAGCACCTGACCGTGTCTGACAGACAGTGAACCCTGGTGGTCCTCCCCTCTCACCCCTCACCATCCCTTAGGACTATCAGCAAGAGTTCATAGCCAAGTGGAGGTCCCTGGACCTGGACGTGCTGCTGGCACCATCGCTGGACCCTGCTTTCTATATCGGCTATCCTGCCAAAGCCACAAGTGAGAGAGCACTGGGTCCCATGGGATTGAGATTGGGAATCCAGGGCTCCTAATTCCTATTTCAGCTGCTTGACTTTTGTCTCCATTCACTTTTTAAAAAAATTTCTTAAATTGAGATAAAAGTCAGATAATATAAATTCACCATTTTAAAGTGTACAATTCAATGATTTTTGGTATTTCTGAGTGTCATGCAACCACCATCACTACTTAGTTCCAGAACATTTCCATCACCCCAAAAAGACACCTAGTACTTGTTAGCAGTCACTCTCAATTTCCATTCACTTTTTCTTTTTTCTTTTTTTTGAGACAGAGTCTCGCTTTGTTGCCCAGGCTAGAGTGAGTGCCGTGGCATCAGCCTCGCTCACAGCAACCTCAACTCTGGCTCAAGTGATCCTCTGCCTCAGCCTCCCAAGTAGCTGGGACTACAGCCATGCGCCACCATGCCCGTTAATTTTTGTATAATATATTTTAGTTGGTCAATTAATTTCTTTCTTACTTTTGTAGAGACGGGGTCTCGCTCAGGCTGGTTCCGAACTCCTGATTTGAGCAATCCGCCGCCTCAGCCTCAAAGTGCTAGGATTACAGGCGTGAGCCACTGCGCCGGCCTCCATTTACTTTTTAAATGAACTTTTATTGAAGTGTAATTTACACACACTAAAATTCACAGATTTCAAGTGTGTAATTTGATGAATGTTGAGAATTGTATACAGATGTATAATCACCACTATAATCAGAAGTATATATCTTCAGAATTGATAGAATATATATTTTCATCACTCCTAAATTTCCCTCGTGTCCCTCGTGTCACTTTCCCCTACCCAGCACCCACTGATCTGCTTTCTGTCACTATAGTTTTGCCGTTTCTAGAATTTCATATAAATGGAATCAAAAGGTATGAGGCTTTTGTGTTTGGCTTCTTACACTTCGCACCTCCATTTACTCTTAACATGCTCTCTGCTGTCACCACATTAGAAGGTATCTTCAGTCCAGCCCACCTGAAATGCAGGCTCAAGACAGGACAGTAGCTAGGGCCCCCTGGGGCCCATGCACAGATTCTGGTCTCAGAGGTACTGCTCAAAGCATATGAAACCCAGTTCCAACCCCAATCCTGGACTCTCTCCCCTGAGCTTAAAAACATGTCCTCCTGAGTCCCCCACAGTGGCAGGCCAAAGGCACATCCCACACCTGGTTCTGCTCGTACACAGGCGGCTGCTGCAGAGGAACTGTCTTTTCAACTCAGGGTGATACTGTACGCCCCCCATCTTGGAGTCCAGTACACAGGAGGGCCTAATCCTCTGCCACCCACTGGCCCTGTACCCTTTAGAAAAGCTACCTTACTTGTTTGCCTCCTGGATGTTCTCATTTGTCCACAGGGACTAGGTAACCCCACCTCACAGGCAGGGAGAGGATTCAAGGGATCAGCACTGTGAGGAGGCCAGCACAGTGCCTGGCCCGGAGTAAGGCTTCAGCAGTGCCAACTGCCCCCTTCCCTCCACCTGGGGAAGAGCCTATGACCGGCACCCGCCGGCCCGTCCGAGCCCGAGGGCTGCAGTTCCGAGAAGGACCGGGAGGGGGCGCGCGCCCGCGTTCTTCCCCGGCCGCCCCGAGTCTTACCGGACTGATTTCCTGGGTTCATCTGATCTTCCCGCAGCAAGCGCCTCCTACACGTGCCTGTACAACATCCTGGACTTTCCCGTGGGCGTGCTGCCTGTCACTACCGTCACGTCACAGGACGAGGAGGAACTGGCCTTCTACAAGGGGTACTACGGAGATAATTCTGACAGAAATTTCCAGGAGGTCAGTTTCCTTCTCTTCTCGAAGCCTCTCCCTCAGGGGGACAAACCAGGGCTGATTCTTGGTCAGTCCGAGTTGGGGGTCCCTGTGGGGGTGGGGGCAGAGAGCGTAGGTGGGGCTGGTCCTTCCTAGTATTTACCCTTTATCACTTCTGCTGCAGTTTCACCCCATCCTCAAGGGGACACCATTTGACGTCCATGTCAGCCCCATCCTTGTCAGGGGAGAAAACTTTGCAAGACCAGTGCTCTTCTTGGTACTTCTGCAGGGAAAATTGATCCCAGAGGCTGGGAGGGTGGCGCAGGGCAAGAGCCTTGGTTAGGAGCTTACTGGACTGGACATCGCCTATCTCAGAGCCCCAGCTTTTTTTGGCCAGGAAAATGGGAAGAAAAAGGTTGTGCTAAAGGTTAATTAAACCGAAAAAGGGAGTGCAGCACTTAGCATAAGGCCTTGTGTATAGGAAGCGTTCAATAAATGCTAAACTATTATTAACTCAGCGGTGGTTTCATAAAAGGAAATATTACCCTGGGCCTATTTAACTGCAGGGTCTAAAATAACAGCCCTGATTATGGTGAGAGGGAGAAGTGGAGAGAGGGAAAGAGACTGACTCTGAAAAGTATGCATGTGTCTGAGTTAGACAGTAACTTACTTTTTCTGGAAATTGATTTTAGTGCTAGAGTTACCCAGTGGAACTGCTGACCTGAATTCTGAGAAAATAATAATAATGACACTATCTCATGTGTCTTGAGCTCCTACTCTGTTCCAGGAGCTGTTTAAAGTGCTGTATATAAATATTAAATCATTAAATCCCAGAACTCTCCTGTGAGGTTTTACAAATGAGGAAAATGGAGGCACACACAGACTAAGGCACTGGACCAAAGTCACACAGCCAGTTGAGGTGGAGGAGCCAGTTCTTGAAGCCAGGAGATCTGGCTCCAGAGACAAAGGCACATAAGGGCTTTTATGATATCATCATCATAAAGCAATGAACATGTTTGAATTACTACAAGTATGTGTGGATTTCGTGGTAGGGGCTCAGGCTTAGTCCCCATGTTCCTGGGCCTGTGTTTTGGGTCAAGGCAATGTTTTCATTGTAGAAATATAACCAGGCTCTAGTCAGGGACTTGCACGTTCTTCTTTTCCTTGCTGTGAACATTGGGTGGATGCTTGGCTTTCAGCTTTATATTTCATCATTTTAGGCAGCATTCTGCACAGGGAGCAAGTTTTACATATTAACCCTGGAAAATTATAGACAAAATAAAATCACAGCAGTCTTTTCAAGTTTCACTGATTGCTGAGGAAGCTTGGAACTCCAAGATGCAGGACATCTTTGCCTTAAGATAGATCAGGGATGGGAAGTCTGGACTAAGGCATCACCTAGGCCAGCCCTTGGCACTGAGGCCTGGAACAGCATGGGTGGTGAGGAGGGCAAGTGGCCTGTGAGCAGGAATCAGGCTCTGAGCTCTGAGACTCTCTCTCCTGGCAGGCTGTGAGAGAATCCGTGGGACTTCCAGTGGCTGTGCAGTGCATTGCTTTGCCCTGGGAAGACGAGCTGTGTCTCCGGTTCATGAAGGAGGTGGAGACCTTGGTCAAGAACCAGAGGGGGCCTGAGTGACAGGCCACTCCTTTTCCTGGAGATCTCCATAGATCCTCACCCAAATCTGCTCCCAATGCCCCTAGCTTCTCATGAATACCATATCCACCTCATGTCTCTTCTAGGAACCTACCACATTCCTTTTCTTTGTGGTCCCTCTGTGTGGTGCTTAATACACGGACTCCCCAGATCAGCCCAAGATGGGGAGCAGGGTGAAGGTCTTAATAAACACTTCTGACTGTCTGGCCTCGTGATCTCTGGTCTGGGTAGGGCTGTAGCCTCCTGGTGGCCTTCTGTCTCCAGCTGCTCTCCTCCAGCTCAGTCCCGCAGGTGCTACCCCAGATTGTAGCAGAGGGGAAAGAACCCCAGATGGAGAGGCCTGGAGCCCTGGGTCCAAGTCTTGGCTTTGCCACTGGCTTGCTGTGTGATGCTGGGAAGTCACTTCCCCTCTCTGGACCTCAGTTTTCTCATCTGCAAATTGAGGGGTTTAGATTTTATAAGGTCCATGGTACCTGCCCGCTTGACCATTCTGCAAGCTGTGATTTCTAGACATCACCCTGAGGAAGAACTTGGCATGGCTTCCACTGATATCTGGAGAAAGTTCCAGAGAGCAAGGCTGAGGGAGTGGAATGCAGTCGGAATGGACCTTGGGTTAGAACCCAGACCCTTGGCCCACAGTCCAGTGCTTTTCCCACCAAGTGCTGATCCCTTGATGACAGGGGGTGACATTCAGCACCTCCTACCCCAAGACCCTCCATAGCCTCCTCTGCCATGACTCTATCACAGCACTGCCTCACTCCTTCCCTCAAACTGGAGCCCTCTTGCCAGCACAAGTACACCGTATGCTTCTGCCTTTGGGCCTCTATTCTTCCTTCAAGCCCTGTGTCAAATGCCACTTCCTCAAGGAAGCCTTCCTTGATTCCTCACCCCATCATGACTTTCCTTTCATCTGAACTCTCTTGAGGTCTTCCCCCTATCAAATCTTTCCTTTCTCCTATCCCATTCCTCTTTGTAGCCCAACTTCTGATGAACTAGGCACACTAATGAACTCACTCTTCCCTGTGTGTGATGGCACAGATCTCCTGCAGAAAATATATCAATGCAAAGGAATGGAATTCATCCATCCACCCATCCATCCTACATTTGTTGAGTCCCTCCTCTGAGCACAAATGGTGGAATTTCAGGCAGAAAAAGGCCCAAGTTAAAAGAATTTAACTCAGATGGAGACCCCAGGAACCACACCAGAGGGTCAGGCCTGACTCTGCCTACCACAGAAAGAACCATGTGGGTGTCCAGGTGCAGGCTGGACAGAGCTGCTGCTGACCTCACTGTGGCTCCCCCTGTCTCTAGCTCTTCTAGAGTCTGATATCTCTACTAGAAATACAGGCTCAGGGTTTCCCTTCAGACAGGGCTGAGCAGGGCTCCATCCCTGTCCTCCCTCCCTGCTAAGATGCATGTCTAAGGGGCTTGGAGAAGGCAGGAGGCAGAAAGGTTCTCAACCCTTAGCGCGTTTGGCCTCTTCTCCCTGCGTCCCTGGACTGCCGCAACGGTCTGGACACCAGGGGGCAGCATTGAGCTTCACACAGCCCAGAGAGCCCTTGCCTTATGCTCTCACCCCACTGTCACCGGACTTCCACGGTCATATCCTATCCAACTGCATTGCGCAGCTGGAGGAACAAGGATGGGGTTGGGGATGCAGGAATTAGCCAAGTGCTTTGGCTTTATGTTAGACATTTGCAAATTTTAAGATGCAGGGGGTGGAATTCTATTTTTGGCTGAAATTAGCTTGGGGAAAGGGGGTGGCAGATACCAGCTCAAAGGGCTGAGTAAATGGGAAGCCCTATCCTGGGGCCAGACTTCAGGCTGGGCTTTCTCTAGTATCTCTTGAGCTGATGTTTGGGGTCAACAACCTCCTTCCTCCCCAGTCCTAGCTCCAGTGCTGACCTCTAAGCTCTGACTCCTGCCAGCACCATCTTCATCTGAAACCACTCCCTGGCCTGTGACTGTGGGCAGGTCATTTGCATTCTCAGAGCTCCTTGCTGGGGGGACCTCTCTGAGGTCCCTGTGTGGGTACCTTTGGGATCTGCTGGACCAGGGCATCTCCTCCTCCTTCCCTTCCCACTCCCATTAGTCCCACCATGCAGGGCTTGGCCTGGGCACACACTCATCCAGGTCAGGCTCTGCCTCCTCTGAGACCTTGTGCAAGTGTCCCAGCTTCTCTAGCCTCTAAATGGAGCCGAAGGTCACATCTGCCGCAGCCTCAGGGTGAGACCGTCAGCAGAAGCTCAAGGAGCAGGTGAGAGGGACTTGGGCCACCCCTCTCCAGCCTGGGAGTCACCGTGGGTGAGGGGCTTACCCAGGTCTGGGTGTCTGTGCCCAGAATTCACAGGGCAGAGCCAACCCTGATGGGGGTGTCTGCGAGAGAGCAGCAGGCCAGAGCAACCGGCCTGGCGGAGGAGTTAGCTCAGAAACAGGAGCATTCCCAGGTGAGGGGCAGTTCTACAAAAGCTGGGACTGAGGCCCCTGACTCGGTAGGTCCCTTTAGAAAAGAGAGGGCCTTGAGTTCTGGTCTTGTTTCTGCACTGGGCGATGCCGGGTTAAAGCCTCAGTTTCCCTTTGGCTGCATCGAGAAGAGTGCCCTCGTGCCCCGCTTCTCCCCCTGGTTCAGTCGAAGGATCCATCCGTGGGCTTCCCGCCCGCCACCGGCCCAGGGACTGTCCGGGCCTTTCGGTCCCACCCAGCACATCCCGCTTCCGCCACCCCGCGCGACCTCGGGAGGGCCGGGCAGACGGACCCGGCGGAGCGCCCGCTCCTCCCGCGGACACGCACGGCCCGACGGCGCGGACCAGGCCGAGTCGGGCTCGCCGCCCGCGGCTCCGCACTCCGGCCGCCCCGCCCGCGCGCCTCCCCGGGCGCCCGCATTAAAGCGCATATGCAAGCCATGAATTATCAACTGAAAGGAGTCAATTACCGGCTCTAAAAACGAGTGTCTGCGCCCGGAGCGCCCGGGGCCATCCGCCTATTTACGGAGCGATTTCCCCCGCCCGCCCGGCTGCCGAGGGGGCCTCGGGAGGGAGAGAGACGGAGCAACCAGGCCCGAGACCCGGAGAGGAGAGCCGGAGCCGGCCGAGACGGAGAGACGCAGGAGAGAGACAGATCTGGCGAGACGAGACGCGCGGACATCCGACGAGGGGCACAGGCCGCTCTGCCTCTCTCCTCCCCGGAGCAGGCGCGGGGCAGTGGGTCCTCGGACCGCAAAGGCCCTCCCCTGGGTGTCGTGCCAGGACCCACGCCCTCTGAACTGCCGGCTGCGCGCTCGGAAGGGAGGCCCCTAGGCTGGGGCTTTGGGGGTAGATACGGCCCGGAAGGGATGGGGGTAGTGTGCAGGGGCCAGCCATCCCGGCAGGAGACTGGGGCGCAGGCAGCAGCACTGTCCACTGTGGAGGGGAGGAATGAGGCTGGACAGCGTGACCATGAGTGAAGAGAGGAGGGGACGAGGAACTGGGACAAAGTGAGGATGGAGCCTGATGTAGGGAATGATCCAGACCTGACTTCTCTACCAGGCAGCGAGCAAGCACCACGGGGGCAGCCTTGTCCACCTTGCTCAGTATTGTGCCCTGCAGGGCAAGGTCCCTAGTGCTTGCTGAATGAGAGACTGTGATGGAGACTGGGTGGGTGGGACCAGGGATGGGCCTCCGGAACAGACCAGATAGAAGGCTTCAAACCACTACAGTGGGGGAGGGGGTCACAGTAACTGAGTCCAGTGCTCGCTGGTGCTCTGGCTGTGAAGGAGGAGTAAGGAGGGAAGGGATGGGTGGGGCGTGCTGAGGGCCAGCACCATCTGCACCCCACCGCAAGTCACTGCTAGAGCACCAGGGCTTTGACCTGAGTGCCCCAGGGCCCTGGAAATCCTTGGCCTTTTTTGGAGGGAGGGGGGGACAGGAAGCCCCTAGAAACTTTGAAGAAGGAGCAGGGCCTACATCAGGGCAAGGGGAAGAGTCTGGACTTGGGAAGCAAACAGAGCCTTTCTCTTCTAGCTGTGTGACCTCAGGCAAGCTTCTTCTAAGCCTCAAGTGCCTTATCTATAAAATGGGGACAGTGCTATCCACTTTTCTGTTAATGTTCTCACATCGGCATAGCACTTTCCCCAGGAGGAAAAGATCCTGTCTAATGCGAGAATAAGAATAGCTGCCATTTACTGAGGCTTACAAGGTGCCAAGCATTATGGTAGTGGATTCTCTCTCCACTGCATTCTGAGTTTGCTAGAACTCCAAGAGAGGCAGTGGTTGGGAGGTGGCAGCAGCAAGTTTTGAAGCCAGGTCTGACTCCAGAGCCTCTTTAACCCCTGTACCAGGGAGTCCCTGTTCCCTCAGCAATTCTAGCCTGGCTGAGCCCAGACTGGGCAGGGGCGTGGCCGTGCAATGGGTGGGTCAGCTCAGGTCCAGCAGGGGCAGCCCCTGGGGTCATGTCCCTGCCATGGTAAAGTGTGGGCTGGGCGTCTGTCCGGCTTGACAAGTCTGCAGCCCCGCCACACCATTAGCAGGCAGCCAGAGGGGGGTGTCTGCAATTGCCAACGCTGGGGTTCCAGCGGCTGCTCGCCTATTAGTGGCTGGTGGCTTCACTGTGATTTATTGGGGCTTCTTCATTTCCCCTTGGTCTGCTATAAACATATTTATACCACCGGAGTGACCGATAAATTTCCCTTATGAATCCCGTTATCTCCCCTATTAACCATCCGTCACCTTTTATGCGGCCACAATGGGCTAGGCCAGGACACCGGGGCTGGGTGGGAGGCCTGCGGCCCACAGCCCCTGAGCCCGGTGAACTCTTCACCTCCCCCACTGCTCCCCAGACAGGGTGGCTGCTGCTGCCTCCGAGCTGCCTCTAGGAGGAGGACATGGGCTGCAGAACAGACTGGCCCAGGCGAGGCCTTTGAAATTTGCTTCCGGGGTCTGCAAGTGAGAGAGGAATCCCCGCTCAGGGCTAAGCCAAGTCTCTCCCACTGTAGCTCTGGCTTCATCTCTCCTAAGTGAGCAGGGCTCTCCTGAAGCTGCTGCTGCTGCTTTTTCTCCTCTTCCCACCCTCAGCTCTCAGCCTGGTCCCTGTAAGTGCGGCAGAAAGCCGAGACACAGCTACATGTGGCATGGAGTGCGGGGACAGGTGCCAGCCGACACTTGCCCAGCACCTCATCTGTGCCAGTCGCTTTACATACCTGACTTCGTGTTCTCTCCATCACATCTATTTATAGCCAGGTTTGCCAGACGAGGATGAGGAAATAAGGCTCAGAGACATTACCTGATGAGCCCAAGGTCACCCAGCCAAGGGACAGAGCTGTGATTTGGGGCTTTTCTGGCCCCAAAGCTGTGCTTTCAACCATTGCACTATATAGCCTCTTCAGATGCCCTGGGCCAGGAGAGGTTAATCTGGGAAGGTTTCCTGAGTGCTATAGAGCAGGAGAGGGAGAAGAGAGAGGGGAGGAGATGGGGCCTCCATGGAAAACTCTTAGGGAGAAGGGGGCAGAGCTGTGGAGTGGGGGGTCACCTCTTTTGCTTTCCAATTGGGGAAACTTGGACACCTGTTCAGTCAGGTGCTGGGGGTAGGGGCAAGGTCTCTAAGAGCCCTAAGACACTGGCCTGCCCACATCTGGCAGGACAAGGGGCCTGGCTGGTACCTGGCTAGAGTCCGGCTGGTAGACCAGAGCCTGGTTGGCCCTGCTTGGCTGTGTGCCACTTTGTCGTATGCCTCAGCTTTCTCCCAGACCTGGGAGTGGAGGGTCCTGCCTTTCAAGTTTCTGATATACCAGCTTCCCTGGGAGAAGGCTGCATGTGGGGATGTCCTGTGTCCTCCACTTTCACTACCCAGTCAGCCAGAACTACTGAAAGCTCCTCTGGAGTTAAGATGACCCCCAGTCTCCAGTGGAGAAGAATCTAGAGACTTAGGGAGACTGAGGTCTATCCTTGAGCTCTGGCATTGCTTCTCTAGCTCAAGAGGATGGGCATAGGTGGGTGTTATTATTCCTGTTTTACAGATGAGGGAACTGAGGCCTAGACAGGGAGGGGATCCAAGCAAAGGACGGAGACCTGCGTTAAGGGTTAAGGCATGGTGACTGGGAGGGGCCCAGCAGTGTTAGAGCCAAGAGGTAGCAGAGAGGGGTGAGGGGGCGGAGCGTGGTCTGCTGAGTTTGGGGTGGTCACACCGGAGGCAAGGGGCTCAGCTCTCTGGAGGATGTCTAATTATTCCTCTCCTCAGCAATGGTATCCCGGGGGTGGGTCTGGAGGTGGCTGGGGCAGAGGAGATTATGGGCTTAGCACCCTAAGGAAACAGATTTTCCTCTGACCACATAAAAAAAGTGAGGAGGTCATTCTGGCCATTACCCTGCCTCCTATGGTCCAGAGGGAAGAGCTGTTGGGGGCTGGCTGCAAGATCTCATCCCTGTCCCTCTGTTTCCTGGCTGTCCACATCCCAGCTCCTGGGGGCATGGAGTCCGTGCTGGGAGGAAGGAACCCTGGGTTCAGGCCCTGCTTGGCCACCAGCCTGTTGTGCAACCTGGAGCATGGCTGGCCTTTTTTGGGCCTCATCCTTTAGATAATCTCCAGCTCAGACCTCAGACTCCAAGCTCCTGTGAGCCAGGAGATACCCTCCCTCAGAGCAGAGCTCCCGGAGGGTCAGGGCCAGCACCAGGCCAGGTACCCTGTCATCTCTCCCTTGGTTGTTCTTCCCCTTGCTCTGTCACTCTCCTCCTTCCACCTGCTCTCTCCTCCTACCACCTGTCTGTCTGTCTGTCTGCCTTTGTCTCTTGTCTGGCCACCCCCTCCCCCTTCCCCATGTCCTCTCCACAAGGTTGGTCTCCCTCGGAGGGAGGGGTAGGGCTGGGAGTGTGTGTGAGAGAGCGCTTGCGAGCTCCCTCCCCCTCCCTCCCCTGCCCTCGCCTTCTCCCACACTCACACACACACTCCCTCTCAGTCATTTTCAATGTCATAAATTTCCACGTCTCTCTCCAGCACTCGGCTATTACCTGCGCCTCCGTCACCGGGCTGCGCTCGCGCTCTCGCTCCCAGATGGGCTAGGCCATCTCTGCTCCGCAAATGACTCAGGGAGAGAGAGGCAGGGAAGGAGGGAGAGAAAGGAGCAGAGAGATGAAGAGAGATCGAGAGAGATTGCAAGAGAAAGCGAGCAAGCAGCAGAAGAGAGACTGGAGCAGAGAGGGTAGAGAGGTGGCCCCAGGGAGGGCTCAGCCCTTCTTCCTCCCTTCTTCAAATACAAAAGTCACTGCCCACTGGGAGCCTGCCTGCTAGGGGCTCCATGCACCTGTGCAGGATTAGGGGGGTGTGGAGCCTGCGGTGGAGTCAGGTCACCAGCTTTGCCCCCTTACATTTCCCGTGGGCCTCCCATGTGCCAATGCTGCGCTGGTGGTGACCTGCCCCCTGCAGGAGGCAGCCTTCTGCCGTGCAGTGTGATAGGACCCTGTGGGGACACTGGCCAGCGTGTTCAGCATGCCCACAGTTGGGGGTGGGGCTGCCCTGAGAGCTGTGCTTCTTCCTTCAGAAGTGGGGCTCTCTCCTCAGACCCGGGCTTCTCCCCGCCAGTTTGAGGCACCCTCCTTGTCTCCTATCTTCATTGACACCCTGACACCTTGACTTTCTCAGGACTGAGTCTTTGGATGAGAGCAGAGCTGGGGACACCCAGGTGGTGTTGGGAAGAGAGCATTTCCAGGCAATGCTGTGGGACAGAGCGTGAGGCAGAGGAAGGTCCAGGCAGGGGTAGAGGGGAAGGACTTGGGGCAGAGTGGGCTGGGCAAGGCCCCCAGGATGTGCTGGGAAGGACTCAGTGAAGTCCTGGTGGGACAGCTGGTGGGACTAGGGTGACCATGGTGTGTGCAAGCCACAGCTGGTGCAGGGGGGTGTGGCCCCCGGGCCTGGGGCTGATCCAGAGCTTCTGCCCTCAACACCTCTAACTGTTCCTCCACCCAGCACAGTGATCACTAAAAAATGCAACTAAGATCATGGCACTCTCTTGCTTAAATCCTTCCAGGGCTCCACATCCCACAGAGAACAAAACCTAACTCCCTTCTGGCCCTTCCCTCCCCTCAAGTCTCTCCTCTGACTTCGGTCTCCTGACAGGGCCTAGAATGTACCCAGACCTTTGCACTCTCTGTTCCCCTCTTTCCACAGGGCTGGCTCCTCATGCCTTGGCTAGGATGTCACTGCACAGAGGAGCCAACTCTAACCATCTCATCAAATGACAGGTCACCCCATTAATGTCTACCATGGTCTTCTGCAGTTATTTTGTGGCACTTTTTAAACTCTGTCACTGTTTGTTTACTTATCTGTTTACTGGTTTAGAGTCTGACTCAGCTGATGGAATGTACCTTGCATGATGTCAGGAGCCAGTCTGTCCTGTTTCCAAAGACAGAGCCCGCCACATCATGAGCTTAAGGAATTATGTGTTGATCTGGGCGCATCCTCTGAGCTTGGTTTGGATGGACTGACGTGGGGATGGACGTTGAGGCTAGACCAGTGGTCTCACGGTTGCTGCTCATCTGGCAAAGTGGTTGAAATTCCAGTGTGATCGATTCTGTTCCAGCAGGGAAAGGCATCTTGCCCTGATGCCGGGAATTTAGCCTATGATCAGGGTCAGGCCTCATAAAAGAGAGTTTTCCTCAACTAAAGTCCCCACACTGGAGTCCCTCCCTCTGTGGGTAAACATACAGACACCCTCACAGACACGCACTCACACCCAGATACACATGTATGTATCCCCACAGGCCCACAGGCATACACACACACACACACACACAGTGTCCCATAGGTGCCGTACACACCAAGGCACACAACCGGACAAACCTGCTTACCCATATTCCTGCGTGTGCCAGATACAGCCCCGCAACCCCACGGGCATATCTGTGAACAGATGCACACATGCACGCACACACACCTATAAACACATACTTAACATGTGCAGACACGGTCATAAAAAGCAACATGAGCACTTAGAACGACATCCATGGAGGAGCCACCTGTTCACTTGCTCACTTGCTCATGAGCCCATGTCACGGAGTAACAGACTGGGCTCTGAGCTCCCCTTCGGCGGTGGGATCCCCTACACTGAGAGGTCTGTGCTCTCTGGCCTCTCCCCTGCACCCTCCTTTCCCACCCCTGTTCAACTACCCCAGCCCTCCTGGTCTTGTGAGAGACTCCGGCTTCCCCAGACCCGATCTGCAGCCAGAGGCAGGGCTCAGCTGGAACTGGGGTCAGGGCTTGGTCTGTGGACAAGGCCAAGGTTCAGTGGGTGACTGGGATCAGGCTCCTCTGGGACCAAGGTCAAAGGTGAGTCAGGGGCTGAGGTTTTCTTGATGCACTGTCTCTGCTCACAGGTGTACCCACCCCCAGATGTGCCATCCCAAGGAGCTGCTGGCAGGGCCCCAAGGTTCAGGGTCCTCATCGTGGGCCTCTGCAGCTGGCGGAAGGTGAGGGGGAGCAGGTGGGGGCCGGGCCTGGGCAGATAGCTGTGAGGTACGTTTCCATCTCTGCGGGTCGGGCGGGCGAAGCCATTTCCAATCTGCTCTCTATCATTTTCAATATCATTAATCCCAGACACTCTATTTTCCATGCCTGCGCAGCCAGGCCCCCGAGTGTGCGCCGTGTAAAGTGACACATATTCATCACCGGCTCGTGGCGCCGGCGCCGACGCTGATACAATATTAGTGTTGCCCCCCCGTTTGGGGCCCGCTCCGCCCGGCTCCCCGATGGCACGAATCCATCACCTGGAGCCCGTGTCACTTTCCCCAGCAGCCACATTTGTTTGGGCACTTAGGAGGTAATTGTGGCACATTAGCTGGGGTGGGGAAGGGCGCCAGGCCTCCAGGAGGAGGGGGAGGCCGGGGCATCTTCTCCCACAGTCCCGGCCCATGCTGGCCTGGTCAGCTCCTGGACTCTGGCTGGGGTCCCAGAAAGCTGGATTCTGGCTCAGCTTTGGTGGGGAGAGTCTTGAGAAAGACCCTGGTGGGGGGAGGTCAACTGTGGCTCTGTCAGGAAGCCTCAGAAGGGTGTCCCCAGCTCCCCTGTGAGCCCCAACATTGGGGCTTGGTCTAGTTGGGTCCCAGCTTGGAGACGATGGCTTCAAAACCTTTTCTTGCCAACCAGTCTTTGTCCCAGCACTGAAACTCAGGATGTGGCAACACCAGCCCCGCTGGCTCCGTTCCAAGTCCCATATGGGACAGCGGGGAGGGAGGAAGGCAGGAGGGAAGAGACACTGCCCAGTCCTTGGGACCCCAACTGTGAGGGAAAATCTGGCTCTGCTCTAGAAGCCTGAGTCTGAGACTGGGTGACACGGCCCAGCCCTCAGGAACACTATCTGCATTCAGGTGGAGGAAGACGCCACCTAGCCTGACTAGTAGTGGTGGCCCAGGTCAGGGTGCTTTTGGGAAGACTGCCCAGAGGTGGTGAGCTAGATGCAGGGACAGCCTCTGGCCACGGTGAGGCCCAAACCAGCTGTAGCAGAAGGAGGAGCAGCAGCCGGGGCCATTGATCGGAGCGGAGGCCAGAGCGGGTGGGGCGTGGGTCCTCCCTCCCCAGTCCGCAGGGCTAACACCCATTAACCTCGTCAGCAGACAAATCGCCCGTCTTGTCAAATTCCCATTTAAAATGCAAACACGATTTGACAGAGTAAACCGAGCGGAGGTGGGAGCGGATAATCCAGTGGAGGCTCATTAGCAAGGCCCGATGAGAGGGGCCGGCCAGACAGCGGCCTCACGGACCTGCCGGGATGAACTCCCACCCCCGCTCAATACCTGACTCATCTGCCCTCCTCACACCTTCAAGGAGTCTGGGGACCCCAACTGCCTCCCACCACCCCTGGGAGGGTGTAACTGAGGGGGCTGGAAGCAGACAGGGCTGAGAACCAGCCCCTGCACTTCTGCCTGTCTGCCCCGTGGGATGTAGGCAACGACCGTCCCTCTAGAGTCCCCACTGGGACACGGCATGTGTACTCTCCTACAAGGCCCTCACCTAGGGGTCCTGTGAGCTGGCTTTATTAACTCATCTACAAATGACAAACCTGGGGTTCAGGGTGGCCCAGCTGGGAAGAGACAGGCAGGGTATGGATTTGAACCCCAAACCATCAGACGCCAGCAGTCATACCCTCAACCATGACACTGCTCTGCCCTCCTGGATTGGAAATGCCTGTTCTTCCCTTTCTGCTTCCCTGGTTTCAGTGTTGTCACTAGCTATGTGAGTCTAGGAAAAGTGACTTCCCCTTAAGCCTCATTTGTCTCATCTGTAAAAAATGGGTGAAAAGCAGCTGCCTAGCCCAAGAGTTAGGGTAAGGAGAATTTTAGTAAGTACTTGGTTTAAGTAATATTAATAACCACCCAACAAAATCTGCAGACAACTTAGCCTGGAGGCCGGGGATGGGGAGGGATGGGTATAAAGGGGAGAGAAAGAACCCAGATTTTTCCGGAGAGCAGCTCATGATAGACCATACACCCCTCCTGGCTTCCAGGACCTGGGCACCCCTAGACCTGCACCCTGTCCTGCCTCCCAGCTCCGTGTCTGGGCCACTCTATTAGGAAAGGAGCCCATGGTCACTCTCAGGGCCTGAACTGGGCGGGGGTGTTCTGGGGCAGGTGGAGGTTCTGCCCACTCGGCCACTCCTTCCTGTCCTGTACTGCAGCCAGGCTGCTGCTGCCCGTTCTTAATAGTTGGAGTGATGGATGATTAAGAGGCCTGGAAGGCAACTACCTCGAGATAATGGGCTGTCACTCTGCCTTGACTGTCCCAGGGTGTCCCCAGCTCTGTTCTCTCACAGGTGCATGTGGATCCCCCAGTCAGGCTTGGGCTGCACCTGTCCCTGCTGCCACATAGGGCCACCACTGTGCTGCTCAGCCACCTGGGAGCTAGTGCTGGGTGTCCTTGTGCTGGTTGGTGTCCTCTCTGGGTCTCATCACCTGTCACTGGCATCACAACAAGAGGCTCCTGATGCCCAGTCTCTGCCCGCCCTGCCCCAGTCCTTCACAATTGCTCTGAATCCCATCACTTTCCCACTCTGACTCCTCCTCACTCCCAGAGTAGAGCCCAATTCCTCAGCTGGCATCCAAGGCCCTGTGCAATCTGGCCTCAGTTTACCTTCCAGTTTCTCTCCTATCTCTCTGCCTCTGCCAGGCTGTGAGTTACCCTCACATCCTTGCCTGGCACTCCCCTGGACTCAGCATCGACCTGCAAGGTAGGGATCCTCTTCCCCTTGAGTCCCTCTCTGCCCCCATCCTCACCTGGGTCTAGCAGTGAGCCAGGAGGACCCCATGAGACCATGGCCCCTGCCTGGGCAGGGGGTGGGCTGCAGAGGAGGAGAGGCTGAGGGGTGGGTGGCGTTCTCAGCCTCCCTGCAGCCGTCTGCCAAGCCGTCCTCTGAGGCTGGCCTAATTCCCTTCAGAGCCCGGCTCCCATCTTCAGGGTGGTGCTTAGGGAGCTGAGAGCCCAACGCTAATGCCTAAGAAAGTCGTGGGTGGATTAGAAAGCGAGGGGGATTAGGGCCAGAGCTGGTGGCTGATGCAGGAGCGGAGCCCCTCCTCCTGAGGAAGAGGAGGCTAATCCTGCTTAGCGACTGAGGAGACAGCCATGCTCAGGGGGGCCTTCTTCCCACCCACTCGGCCTGCCTGGGCCCAGCAGGAGCAGCATGAAGAAGACCCAACTGCCCCCTCTGTCCTTCAAACTTTTGGTGCCCCGAGGTCTCCCCAAACCATCCTGATCTGCCTTGTCCCCCCACATCCCCCAGCCCTCCACATAACCCCAAAGTCCCCATACTGCTGTGCCTGCCCAAGCTGCCCTGTCTGCCCACATCCCCCAACTTTCATAACTATCTCCATCTCCATGAACTGAGCTGTCCCCCAGTGCCCCATCCGTGCTGCCCCGAAGGTCTGCAGTGGATGTGGTGGCGCTGCCCAGATCGCCCTGCAGGGCAGAGACGTTCCTGCAGTGCTGGGAGTGTTGGCCGCTGCAGGTGTCCTCAGCTGCCTCACCTAAGGTTGTGCCCCTCTTGGGGGCTGTCCACCAGTGACTGGCCAATCCAGAGTGCAAAGGGCTGGTCTCCCTACCTCACTCTGGGACAACTCTGAAAGCCAGTGCCACACTGGGAGATGGGATTGGCTGAGGCTGCCACTGTGACTGTTTCACAGCTGGGACCTTTCAGTCTGGCCAGTCTGGCTCCCCACAGCCTCATGGGCCCATGCACCCTGGAGCACACTCCTTCCTCAATCTCTGCAAGAAGTCTCACCCTTCGCTTTCTTCTTTAAGTGCTGGGTTGGAGGATGGAAGAAGATTAGGTTGGTCGGTGAAGGGCCTGGATTCAGGAGCTCCTGACTTGGATGCTGGGTGAGGACCCGCAGTCCTTTCCCCGAGGATCCCTCCTCCTTAGGCCCCTTTGCTTCCGACGGTGTAGGCAGCCCCATGGGCTGAGTGGGGAGGGAGGTCCTGCCCTGGACGCCAGGCTGGGGTCCTGACCCGAAAGGAGAGGCAGGTTCTGTCTGGGGAGCTGATGGAAGAAGGAGAAAGAACTTGCTCTGAGAGCTTAATTTGAGGGCCGAGGCAGGTCAGCCCCTGGGAATTTGGT